GCACTGGTCGCGTGGTGGCAGCACACAACGTCGACGTGCATGCTGAATGGCACGACGTCAACATTGTGTGATGTTGCTGTAGCATGGGGCAGGCGGGGCGGAGGGCGGAGGCAGCGCAAAACCACGCTGCGATTCACATTTCAGAACACAGCCGATTTCGGCCGCAGATCCGCAGATCTGTGGTCGACATCGACCACGTTTTCAAATTTGAAAACGCGGGGGCATACCGAACCCCTTTTTTTTCGGAAACGGGTGGTCGATCTCCACTGTCGATCTGCACCGATCGGCGGCAAAGATTGGCCGCGCGTTCTCAAAAGAAAACGGGGTCCGGCAGGGCCCTTTTTTTTTTTCACTTGTGGCGGCGGCCTCCCAGAGGCTGGGCGGGGACGGGGACGCCCGAAAATCCCCCGTACCGCCCCCCAAAAGGAGTGCGCCAAATCGCACCGGGGGCCTGCCGGTCCAGTGAACCGCCCAGTTGGACCGGTAGGCTCCCGGTCCGTCGAAGGTCCCCCGGTCCCGGTCCATCCGGGGACCAGCACTGTTTTCAAGGCATTTCGCTGAGCCAAAAAAAAAAGAAAAATGGTCAAAGATGGCTGTGTTAAAACGTGCTCGGCTACTCAGGTTCTTTTTTTTTTCACTTTTAACTTTTTGTTGTGGATTTATTTTGGTGCCTTAAATATTTGATTCTTTTTTAAAAGTTTTTGCATGAGTTTTGTACTATGTGAAGTACACATATGTAAATTTTCATAGCATTTGTCACAGCCAAAAAAAAAAAGAAACATCGCCAAAGATGGTGGTGTAAAAAACGGGCTTGCCCACTCTCTAATTTTAATTCTTTAATTTCCTTTTTTTTCTTTTTCTTATTAGTAATTTTTTTCTTTTTCTTATTAGTATTTATTTTCCTTTTTTTATTTTTATTTCAAATTTGGTAAGGGATTTTGATGTAATGCTCAGGCAGATATTGTTTAGTTTTTTTTCTGCATAACATAGTTTGTTTCAGATTTTTTCGATTTTTTTTTTTTTTTCTCTYTTTTTTTTTTTGGGTCCGCGTTCGGCCCGAACGGACGAACGCATCCCCAAGGGGTCCCATACGTTCTGGCATTCGGGTCCGGACGTTCCTCAACGCTGGCCACCCTGGTCACAGAACTATTGACTAAGAGTGCAAACACGTGAAGCTATGTGTCCGAAATCGGATTCAACGGGGGTTTTGAGTTAAACGGTTCAACTCCCGTTTCAACTCCCCGTTGAACCGAGTTGAACCTGGTACAACTCGGCCCGGCGATTTTGTTTTTGCAGGCAAAACATAAGTGAAAAATATATATATATATATGGGGGTGTAGATTTTTTTGCTCTCTACATCCCCATATTTTTTATTTTTTTTTTAGCAATAAAATTATTTTCAAAAATTCAAAAACAAAACCAGACTCAAAACAGATAGATTTTTTTTATTTTTTTTTTGATTGATTGATTGATTTGATTGATTGATTGATTTGATTGATTGATTGATTGATTGGTGGGGGATGGGTCGCCTTCCCAACCCCCACCCAATCACACACACACACACACACACACACTTTCTTTTGCCCAAGTTGCGTGGGAATGTGTGTGTGTGATTGGGTGGGGGTTGGGGGGGCGACCCATCCCCCACCAGTCCATCAATCAATCAATCAATCAACCAATCAAAAAAAGAAAAGGAAAAGTAAGAATAACGAGAAAAGCGGGTTTTCCCTTTTTTCTTAAACTTTTTTTTTCTCTTTTGATTGATTGATTGATTGATTGATTGATTGATTGATTGGTAGGGGATGGGTCGCCCCCCCCCCACCCCCACCCGATCACACACACACACACACACACACACACACACACACACACACACACACACACACACACACGCAAAAAAATAAATAAATAAATAACTTATTTTTATATTTTATATTTTATTTTTTATTTATTTTTTATTTTAATTTTGGTGAAGATTTTCGATGTGACCCTGAGGCAAAAGTTGTTCAGTTTATTTGTCTGCATAACATAGTTTGTTTCCGGAATTTTTGGACGACTTCCAATTTTTTTTTCCCAACGGGATTGAACGGTGATTCAACGGGATTCAACGGGGATTCAACGGGGATTCAACGGGATCCAACGGGATGATTTTTTTTTGGTTCGCGTGCGTCCAGCGCCGTGTCCGAGGCCCAATGCACCCTCCCCGTTGAACAATATTCAATGGGGGGGGCCCGTTGTACTATTCAACGGGAATTCAACGGGGCCCCGGGGGCTATTCAACATGTACAACGGAGTTGAAACTTTCCCGTTGCCCGTTGAATTGACACATAGAAGTGAAATAGAAAAAGAAATAAGATGAGCAAAGAAAGGAAAAAATGAAAGGACAGACAGGCAAAGGGACAGACAAACCAGACAGACAGAAAACAGTGTCTTGTTCTTGTTCGTTTTAGTGTATTCTTGTTTCTTTCAGTTTTTTTTTTTTTTTTTTTTTTTTTTTTTTAACCCTGAACACAGCATAAAAATAAAAAAAAAAAGACACATTGAAATCATTCCATTTCTCTGTCTTCGACTCTTCGTAACTCCACTGCGTCTCTCACGTACAGGGCACGCCGCGTTCATGAAGTTGAGAGCGAGCTGGCTGCCCCCATCCCCGTACTATGCCATAACAGCCCACTTGCACGCTGTGGGAAAGAGGCAGAGTAAAGGGAGAGGTATGTTAAACACAAGGAAGAGAGGAGCAGAAAAGAAAAAGCAATAGGCGCAGGGAAGGTGACACAACTTCTTCTTTCTTTTACTGTATTCTTCTTTCTTTCACAGTTTTGCAGTTTTGGTGAAGGGTCTACCATGTTCGCTTTTCAGCGCACTCAATCAATCAATCAATCAATCAATCAATCACTAATCAATCAATCAATCAATCAATCAATCCATTCATCAATCCACATACACCCGCACACACAAACGTTTTTTTTTTTTTTTTTTCCCAGAACTGCGTGCTCCCCCTGTGGCTTCTGACACGCACAACCTGGTGGGGGGCGCGCGTTCAATTTTCTCCCACCGTGTGCCACGTGGCGGTATTGAACACGTTTGAACGTGTGCATGCGCGCTATGAACCCGCGCGTTTGAACGTGAAGGCGAGTCAAACGTGTTCAGTAGGCAGAGAAGTGGTGCACTGATGGCTATTGCAGCGGATCTCTCTCCGAGCCTGGACAGCGATACCACGTTCGGTTGGGGACCCGCCCACCTTCTGTAAGGGACGCCGCCAGCTTGTAATACAAAAACTTAAATCCTTTTTTCACAACTAAAATTCCTTTTCATGCGTTCAGATTTTTGCTGAAAATATATACACGACATATATTCCCAAGCGGAAATTACTTCTCTTGGCAATGCATAGAAGATATTTAAAAAAAGAATCTCACTTACTTTAAAACTAGACAAGCCTCATATGTGGCGGTTTTTATAGCGCCATTCAATCATAAAAATAATAAAAACCTATGGAGTACTAGACGGAATGCATGTAGCACATATTTTGGGGAGGATCCATACATACCTGAGCCCGGGGAACAACATCGAAGGATCAATTCGTACCTGTCAAATTATTGCTAAAAATACGAACATCCATACACAAAATCTTGAACGCACCTGGCCGTTAGCTTGAACAGATACATTTCGAGAGCAAAGAAAAATTAGGCGAGGAGACATGGCCCCTCGGCAAAACCATCGAATGAATGAACACTTGGGTCATGGACCTCGCTTCACTGCAGAGCACAAGCTAAATGAACCCGGAGCTGATCATGGTCCCGATACATTCAAAATGTTTGATCAGTCCGAATGTATCTGGTTCACGCAGCAGACCAGATACATATAGAATGTTGAGTGATAGAGCGAGTCCACGTGTCCACCACACAAAAAATCACATCACAACCCCTTGTGTACCTAAACATCAAAATAAACTTCCCTCCATAAATTTTGCACCTGGCCATCAGGATGTCCAGATCCATTCTGACATGGCCTTCTTTCCCCATGGCAAACACAGCCGAGTCGATCAACAGTTTCTCTGCAAAACTTGCACGTGGCCGATAAATGCCCACGTGCATTCTAGACTTCCCTTCACAGCCCTTGCACCTGACCGTCTCGATGACCAGGTACACTCTGCCATAAGCCTTTTTTCTCAATCGTAAGAAAAACCGATCAATCAACACTTCCTCTGCAAAGCTTGTGCGTTTTAGCCATCAAAAAAGACTACCCTCCACAGAGCTTGCACCTGCCCGCTCGAATGTCTAGGTACATTCTGACATGGCCTTCTTTACCCATGGCAAGAAAAAAGGCCGATCCCGGAACACTCTCCCTCGTATAAAGCTTGGACCTGGCCGATAGAATGCCCACGTGCATGCTGACATTGGCTTCCGTTTCCCATGACAAGGACAAGCTACGCGGTGAGGCTTGATGAAAAGACGACAGCCAGACAAGAGTCGACTAACAAAAACAGAAACAACAACAGCTACAATACCATATAAGAAAAGCCGATTATAACCAAAAAGCGACATCAAAAAAAAAAAGAAAAAAAAGAATAAAAGAAAAAAAAAGACCGACATTACAAGGAAGAAAACATTGCATCAGTCCTCTTCAGGACAACCGCGTCAAAATTGGAATGATACAGAGAAGATTCGCACGGCCCCTGGGTTAAGGATGTCACGCATAATTCGAGAAATGTTCGAAGAGAGAAAAAAAAAAAAAAAAAAAAAAAACCCGTCCCGCACCCATCAATGTCCCGCTGGATTTTTTTTAAACACACACTTGAATTTCTTTTTTCTTTCTTTGCGTAAATCAGCTTTTTATTACAGGGGTTCAGTCCCGAAGGCAAAAATTATATCAATGAAAAAAAAAAAAAAAAAAAAAAATCGATGATTGTAACCTACAGGAACAGTTGGGTTATCGTGCCCTACCTCGGGCACAGAGCCCCGTCCGTCCTTACCTAGTATCAATCGTGTCATACCCAAAACTACACCCATGCTATCAATCGTGTCATACCCAAAACTACACCCTATCAATCGTGCCCTAAATCCTATCAATCGTGCCCTACCTCTGGCAGAAATTGATACCCAAAACTACACCCATCCTATCAATCCAATCAATCGTGCCGTACCTCTGGCAGAAATTAAAGCCCCACACTATAACCAACTAGACCCCTCAAAAGTACCAAACCCAACAACCCACCAACACAGTGACTTAGAATTTCAATTGAAGGCTGGACTTTTTTGCTCTCACAGCCCCTCAAATACACCCCCCCCCCCCCCCCCCCCCCCCCCCCCNCTCCTCTCCTCTCCCCCTCCACCTCCGCCGGGCGTTTAACGAAAATGACATTACCGCAATCCCTCGGGAATTTAACACAGACTACTCCTCGACACAAAAAATGCACTATATACCATAAATAGCCCCTCGGTCCATTACAAAACTTACATGTATCTGGTCTCCAATGTCAAAAATATTCATTCGGAATAATCCAGCATTTTGAATGTATGGCCACAGCTATCAGATCGCGAAACACATTCATAATTCTCTCTAGTGGAGCGATGGCCATACAGCCAGTGTGAGTCATCAACTATACAAAGTAGGTTTTTTTTTTTTTTTTTTTAAACCAAGCCAAACCGTACGGTATTAATTTAAAGAAGCCCGTCGGCGATTGTGTGAGGTAGGTGTTCTAAACCTAAACCCTTCGGCGAGCCGACGACACTCAACCACGCTCCAGACAAGAGAGAAATCAGTAATAAGAAATTGAAATACAACTCAAAAAAAACTGACAGCAAGCAATTGAGAATGTGTCGGGTTGAAAAACACTACCTAACACCGGTCGTTAATAATTTCTTCGCCGACGGAGAAGAAGAATTATGGTCCGAACAGCAGCAGGACTACCGTGGCAGAGCGGAAAGGAAAAGGGAGGGGGAGGGGGGGGAAGGGGAAGGGAAGCGATCGTGAATTCGACAAGATGAAAAAGGAAAAGCGAGGCACAAACGAGAAGAGAGCGAAGTCCACACCCATCATGTTCCAGCTCAGAGCATACTGACTAGCACAGAGTTAAATGCATCTGACGGTAATTACGGTCTTAATTGGATGTATCTGAACCCAATTCCGTCCAGAAATAGCGCGGAGTCAAGAGTAATCGTCGCAAATCCATAAGACTTTGTGAGAATATTCGTCGACAATGGACGCCGCGAAGCGAAAGAGAAGAGGGAGAAGAACCTTCAAGAACGACGAGAGAGCGAAGGCATCCTGGTCCCATCGAAAGCGGAAACAACAAGAAACGGTCTAGTATTCTAATATACAAGAAACGCTCTAGTATTCTGGTATTTCAAATACTCCAAAAGCACTCTCAATCAGATAGTACTCAAATATTCATATTAAACAAAAACATATGTACATATAAGAGAGGAGCAAAACCGTGCAAGCCGGCTTTTTCTGCACAAAATATTTCGTGAATTGCCTAATCAAGCAAAAGAAGAAGAAGAAGAAGAAGAAGAAAGAAGAAGAAGAAGAAGAAGAAGAAGAAGAAGAAAGAAGAAGAAGAAGAAGAAGAAGAAAGAAGAAGAAGAGGAGGAAGAAGAAGGAGAAAACCCTACTCTTAAATCACCGCACGAGAAAGGGGCCAGGGTGGCCGACCTCGGACACGGTCATAGGCGAAAGCGACAACCCAGCGAAGGAGCACAGGTGCATTAATCAAATAATAATGAAAATAAAATACGTAAGAAAAGAAAAACGAATAAATCAATGTGCTGTTTTTTTACGAGGGTGATAAAGCAGAGAAGACGAGCCTTAATGACGGTTTTATTCTCTCTATTTCTTTCCTGCCACTTTGATGAAGACATCCTCTAACGTGGTGTTGGCTATGCCCCAGGCCTGGATGTTGATCTTGGTCTTCGCTCGTTCGATGGCATCGAAGACGTCAGCCAGGTCCACCTCCGACGAGGGGAGCTCGAATTTCTGCGTTCCTCCAAGGGAGTACACTTTCTTCGCACGGTGAGAGAGAGATAGAGCGAGCGCCTCGACGGCCGACTCCTCTCCCGGCGGGGTCGTTACTGTCAGGTCGTACGTCCCGCCGTACCGAGCCGTCAGCTCCCTGGGATTGCCGATGCACGCGAACTGGCCGTCAATGAAAATGCCGAGGCGATCGCACAGTACCTCCGCTTCCTCCATGGAATGAGTGGTCAGGATGATGGCCCTGCCTCTCTTCGCCTCCTTCACGACCTGCCACAGGTTATTCCTCGACGCGGGATCGAGTCCCGTGCTCGGCTCGTCCATGTACACCACCAGCGGATTGCCGATCAGCGAGATGGCCACGCTGAGTCTCCTCTTCATCCCGCCGCTGTACGCCCTGACAGGCTTCGCCAGCACTCCTCCGTTGTAGAGGTTCATCTTCCTCAGCCACATCTCGATCTCCCGCTCCAGCTGCTCCCCCTTCAGGTTCTTCAGCCTGCCGTAGAACAACAGGTGCTCTCTTCCGGTCAGAGTTTCCCACAACAGATCGTGCTGCGGACACACGCCCATCACCGAATGGATCGCCGACATCTCCCCCCGAATGTCCATCCCCTCGATCAGCGCCGTCCCCGAGGTCGGCTCCAGAAAGCCCACCATCATGTTGATGCTCGTCGTCTTGCCGGCGCCATTCGGTCCCAGCATGCCGAAGCACTCCCCTCTCGGGACAGCAAGCGACATCCCCTGCACAGCGAACTTGTCGGGATTACCATCCGTACCCTTATAAACCTTCTGCAGCTCGTCGCACACTATCGACAGACCCGAGGAGGAACCCCCCCCCGCCTTCCCCAGAAGGCCCTCCAAAGCGGCTCTCGCCGTCTGCTTCTCCGCCGCTACATCCTCGCCGACTGGTCCGCCGCCGCTAGAGCCCCCACCACCACCACCTCTCCCCGTCGGTGTCATGAAACTGGGCAACTCCATCTCCTTTCTCCCTCCTCCGTCCTGCTTCTTACCTCGCTCCCCGCCGAAGCACCAATCGAGGAAGAAGAGCGGACGTCGAGGCACACCGGCTCCGGTATCGACGATCTGATCGAGGTACAGCGCGAGCAGGAGGAAGATAATCCACTCCACCACGAGAATGCCAATCATACCTCCCACACCGTTGTTCTCGTCCGACAGATTGCTCCACCTCATCCCCTTCGTCGACATGTAATTACCTACGAACGAGTAATTAGCGAACTCGTAGAGGCCGCGATAGAGCGCGAAAGCCGGCACGAGCTCGAAGGCAAAGACCACTCCCCTCGACGTCGAAGGGTTTTCAAGAAAGAATCTGAAGAGATACTCAGCCAGCAATCCGGACCCGAAGACGTACAAGTACGCGGAGATGGTGACGGTCTTCGTGGAGCTGAAAATCGCACTCCAGAGGAAACCGAATGCAACCAGATTGTTGAAGTACACGAGCAAGAAGACGATCAAAATCGACATGTCGTTGAGCGTGAAGAACTTGACACGAACGACATTTCCCATCGCGACGAAGAAGAACATGTACACGATGGACACGGTGAGGAAGTAGAGATAAGATATCGCCCAGTACGGGCCATCGCCAAGCCCGTGCATTTTCATCATCGAGCGAAGGCGGACCTCTTTCTCGTACACGAGGCTGTTGCAAACGATAGGAAGGATGAGACCTAAGACCCAGACGAAGAGGAGAGGACCAAAAAAGGCACTCACATCAAGCTGCAAGCTCGTACCTCCCTTAGGGAACTCCTTCACATACAACAGCGAAAGCAGACTCTCACTTACATTCCTGTTGTTGTTGTTGTCGTTTGCTCCCTTCGCCCACGACAAGAAGGCCTTCGTAGCGAGATTAAAAGACCGAGCGAGTCGAAGATTCCGGTCTGGCTGACCTCCACCACCACCACTCGAACGGTAAGTGTCGTTATACCATACGTGTAGGTTTAATCCACCGGAGGAAGAAGAATTCTTGAAATCGTACGCCGCTACGACTCCAGGTACATACTCCTTCCCGCCCTCTACCTCCTGTTTACTAGGTCTGGCCAAGAAGTACCTGTTGTACAAGTACGCTTCGACGCTGCTACCAAAACCCTCGGTTATCTTAAGCGCGCCATCGCCGCCGGGGAAAACCCGTCGAAGGAAGTCCAAGTCGAAGGAGGGAGGGAAGTAGGTGTAATTGGCCTCATAACAACCCACGCGGAAGCTTAGCTCGGACGACGAATCAACGAACGGCACGTTGCCACCGAACGCCTCTCCGCTCAGATTAGCCTTCCGAAGCTGCCACGTGGCAGAGCTCCCGTTCGCGAACGCCGCCGCGCAAGAACTGCTAAGTAAGAACAAAGGAGTGTACGGCGCGTCTTGCCCAATGAAAGCTTGCTCGATGATTTGCACGCCGACGTCCGGATCCATGGCTGTCCCGGCGACTAAAGATGGAGATCCCCTGCTTGCTGCTGCTGACCTGTTGTTGAGAGGTAAAGTCAAAGTCAGCCCGTTAGGAGAAACGGGATAAATGGACAGGAAGCTTCGACTAGCAGAGGAGAGAACATCAGGCTTCACAGCCTTGAAAAGCAGACGGCCAATGGCATCGGCTAACGACCGGTTGTAGGCAGTAACCGGTACGACCGTCGAGAAAGGCACTGCAGGCAAACCGGTCGTTATATTCGGCATTTGCAAAAGAGCAGGATTAGCAGGAGGGTTCTTTATGGCACACCAACCAGCTTGAGCACCGTTCGAGAACTCGACCCCACACTCAGACTTGTTCTGGGGATTACACCCGCATTTGAAGTCGTCGCCGCCGAGAAGAACATTGTCGAAGAGAAACTGCAAAGCAAGGAGGAGGACGAAGAGAAGCAGGGGGAACACCACAAGACAGGCGTTCACCCTCCATTGACGAGCTTGAAGCCGCAAGTTCTTCCGACTCAGAGCGTTGGCTTGAACAGTAAATGACGACCGCAAAGCTGCTTTCCTCTGCAGTATCGACCTTTCCGGATCCATCTCTCTCTCTCTCTCTCTCTCTCTCTCTCTCTCTCTCTCTCTCTCTCTCTCTCTCTCTCTCTCTCTCTCTCTCTCTCTCTCTCTCCCGCTTGCTTCCTTTCCGCCTGCGCAGGAGTGCGGGGAGCGACTCCTCTGCACGTCAAAAGGTTGATGCAAAGTGTTCCACCAATTTACACCCTGCACAGAGTTGAGTGCGAATGCTGGCAGTGGACGTGCGCATCTAACCGCGAGACCAGAGCTCAATACATGTCAATGCCCATGTTCCAGGACGCAATACACGTCAATGCCCATGTTCCAGGACTCAATACATGTCAATGCCCATGTTCCAGGACTCAATACATGTCAATGCCCGTGTTCACCTCACTGTTTCCTTGTTCCTCGTAAGCGCATTCATCCTTCTCTCTCTCTCTCTCTCTCTCTCTCTCTCTCTCTCTCTCTCTCTCTCTCTCTCTCTCTCTCTCTCTCTCTCCACTTGTGTGCAACGGCGATGACACGGCTAGTCGACCTGTTGGCTCTCGAACCCAAACGAACGGTACGATCCCGTCGCCGTCGTCGTCAATCGCTTCGTAGAAGCCGACAAATTACCGCAAGCAAAGATCGGTCATTCACCCACCGCGTTTAACCGTGCATGCTGCATGGCTCCATGCTGCGTGGTACGTGATGTATGCTGCTCAGCTCCCTCTCTATCCTTGTCTCCTTGTATTCGACGACCGAGTGGTTATCGACACGGACACCATATCCGACTTTTTAAGTTCGCTTTGCTACCATCTTTCCGCTCTTCGCTCCACTTTCCGACCTTTCCGACGAACGCCTCCGTCTAATCAACTGCCCTTCCGACTGTCACGTACAGTCTAAGTGATTATTTATGGACGTGCAGCGCCCCTTCACAGGCCAGACATCCCCATCCAGGTATTCCCGTCATCCCGTCATCCCGCCATCCCGCCCATGCCGCCCATGAGGCAAGCTGTGCCCTCGCACTCGACATTCGGCATTCGCCACGATGACCGGCGGTCCCGACTCCCGCCGACAGCCGCCTCCCCCCGAGCGCCTCCTACCACACCTATCTCGTGACGTCATAGACAGCGGAAGATGTCGCGCGCGTATGCCGCCCAGGCGGCTCGCGCCGCTCAACTACCACAGACAGTGCCGCACGTCCAGCCCGTCGACAACTGGCATTACCTCTTGATGCTGCACCGCCACCTCCCGCAGCGCAGCTGCTGCTCGGCTTCCGCCAGTCACCCTTTCCGCGGGTGATCTCCTACGGAGGCGGAAGTATCTCAACGACCTCATAGCCTCGATTTCGTCGCCCACGTGTTTCGGGCCCATGCAGACGTCCAAGGTGGCTGTAGCGGCTTTGTTTTTTCTTGTCTTTTCGAAGGCCCAACCAATTCAAATACCTGTCGAATCTGGACGTTTCAGGCCTTTTTTATTGTCATTATAGTATTACGGGGAACCCCGTAGCAGCCGCATCCGTGCTCAAGCCTCCAACGAGGGAACGTGCGGGGGCTGCACCCACCAGCAAGTGGGCGATACCGGCCGGGGGTCAGCCAGTGGCATCAGGATCGATGCTGAACTGTGCCTCCCCTCTGGTCACCTCCCCATATGAACATCCGCAATCGCTGCGCAATGCCACTCGGGGGGACCAACGGCATATCTCTAGGTGGCGGGCGCCAAGCTTGCCCAGGAAGGTACATGAGGTCCATGGGGATTGAACCCAAGACCTCCTGAATGCCACTTGCGTGCCTTACCAACTGAGCTAGGCCGCTGGAATCGGTGATACAAACCTGCCCGGGCAGGAGCCGATTTCTTTTTCCTTTTTTTTTGTTTTGTTGTTTGTGGCGTGGAGCTGCTGGTTTTGTTGTTTGTGGCGTGGAGCTGCACCCACCAGCAGGTGCTATACCTTTTTTTTTTTTTTTTTTTGGAAAGATTCAAAATTTWTTACAAAGTCATCATGGGACGAGGCCGGGGACCTCACAATTCGACCCGGAGTTATCCTGGCAGCCTCAGCCAGTTTGGCTTACGAGCCAAGCTCGAAGACCCACCTACTGCCTTTAAGTTTTCAATCCAGCTGCTGGAAACCGGGTCCAGCGTCCCAAGTAATTCAATAACCTTTCCAAAAATCGCTCATGAAGCTCAAGTAAAAGGGACTGCCTATGCAGTCTGTACTTACTAACCAAAGCACTCTTTCCTATATACTGCGTGCAGTTCTGAAAAACGGAGCCAATGGTCCTAAGTACCCAGGTTTTCCAAATCTTATCTTCCTGACACCCTGCTCATGATGTTCTTGATGTTCAACCGAAAACCACAGGGTTCAGTGTAGGCATTCTGAACATCCTATTAACCCATATTCCTTTCTGCTGTTACAATCTGAGTAGACATTCAAATGCTCCTATGTGCCCTTCAACTTGTTTGCTATGTTAGTGTTTCTAATCTAGGTCTAAATCGACCCCACTGGCCTCAAAATCGATCCTAGCTCAAACTAATCATGCGTATCAAACAGCCATGAACACAACGACAATTTGCCTTCTGCAGAGACRGACGCCAAGCGTTTGTCCTTAGACCATGTTTTCTGGAACCACCATCCACTCTTCCTTTGCCAATCGGCCTTAATGATTCTACGGAGCTGTTGCTTGATTTGCTGTTGTTGCTGTCTCCGGGGGGTGTCTTCTCCGCGAAAGACCCGGTTGTTTCTGGCGTGCCAGATTACATCCATCAGGACACCCCTGCAACAGAGAGCTATGTAGCCCCAGCCATCCTTAAACTGCATGTCTATAGGAAGTACACCCGTGAGCATCCATGTGTCGGACCAATCAAAGCAACCTCCCACTATCTTAAGCCAGTGGTGGTTCCACCACCTCATCAGTTCATCCGTCAGAGAACAGTACAGCCATAGATGGATCATGTTTTCCCATCCCCAGTTACAGCCCATACACTGGATGGGTATATCCATCCCTTTCGTCGACAGCCACATGACCGTAGCCGTAACCAATAGGGATTGGAGCCACACGATACCTGCATGTTTCTGGACAGGGATCTTAGTCAGCCCCTTCCACAGGCTCCGTACTCCTTGTTTAGTAACCCCTGCTAGTTGTTGTGTCTCTGCCCTTTCCAGGGCCAGAGTTGTTGCTGTCTTATGTAGCCTTACCTGCTGTAGTTGTACCCCCACCTTAGGTCTGTAGTCGAGCAGCGGAGTATACACTCCCCTAACACTCCAGCCCAAAAGGAGGGGTTCAATCCGATATTGGACAGCTGGGCCCAACAGCGTAGCCCCTTGCCTGCCCTGTCTATTTAACTGGCGCAGTACACGAACCTCCTCTAAATGAAGTGTACAGTTTACCCTGAGGTCCTCTACCTCTAGTTTGAGGTAGCCTGTTTTTCCCGCCTGAGAACCTACTGGTAACCGCCACACCTGGACTCTCATTCCAGAAACCAGATCCGGGCCCAGTACCCGAAACACTTGGGATGGATGGACATCCGATTGAAGCCATGTATCGGCTGCGTTCTCCGAAGCTGGGTGTAATAACTGTGTCCACGAGGCTGGGATGGCTGCCAAGAGTTCCACCCTGTGTTGCTCCACTCTGTGAAGTCTAGGGAGTTTCTGACGTAACTGTATCAAGTCCAAAAAACATCCCTTTGATTGATCCCAGACATCCCGGATCTGCATGATGTCTTTTTTAACCCAGGCCCTGCCAAACGCTCCCGGGGTATCTGCTGCCGGGAAAGGGCAACCATTCGCTTGCAGAATCCTCTCATTATAAAAAAGAAGTTGATTTAGTACCTCTTGTTTCGTCGTCGGAGGCTTAGCTTCATTCGGCTTGATCTTATTCCATGCAGTGAGGATATTCCCCCATAACTTCGACTTTAGCTTATGATTGCAGAAGGAAAGCAGGAGCAAACACAACCAGACTTTAGACTGATCCTTAAGTTCCCACTCCCTTCCCAAGACATACTCTGCGAAAGGCATCCAGATTTTCTGACCAGCTTCCAGTATGGCTTCCACTGGCCACTTTGACAAAAGAGCTTCATTCTGCTGAAGAGGGTCCAGTACACCCAAGCCTCCTTCTTTCCTTGGGGTGGCAATTACTTCCCATGCCACCTTAGAGATGTAACCCTGTTCCGCCGTGGCTTCGGGTTTCCAAATGTATCTACCTGCTGCATTTTTAATTCTCCGATATGACTTTTGGCCCAGGCGATGCACTGACAGTGGAAACCATAAAAGGGGCATTGCAGATGTTGAAAGAACCAACGCCCTTCCGAAAAGAGAGAGATGGGTACGCCTTTCCCAGCTTGCAATGCGCCCGAGCACTTTGTCTGCCAAAATACCATCTTGGATGTCTGCACAATCCGACAGGGAAACTTGAACTCCCAAGAACMTGTCCGCTGTGTTRGCTGGTACCAACCTCAATCCCCAGTTAACACATAGGGAGTGGGAAGGATGTAAGAAGTAGATAGACTTATCCCAGTTAATAGAGGCCTCAGATAGTACACAGTATTCATCTATAATATTTCTTAATTCGGTCAAACAATCAGGACTATTCTTACATGCAACAGTCAAATCATCTGTTAAGGCCCCTCCTTTCCATTGAAAGGCAGGGGAGAGGTACAKACCTTCAATTCTTTGATTGGTTCGAATGTTAGCCAATAAAATTTCCAGTTGGATAACAAAGATCAGCGGGGCAAAGGGACAACCCTGTCTTAGTGAGCGGGACAGATGRAACTGTTCYGAYTGCTTCCCATTCACCAGAACAGTGGCCGTAGCATTGGCGTACATAGTCCTAACCCAGTTCCGGAACTGAGGCCCAAATCCCATGTGTAAGAGGGTGGTGTTGACAAAGGCCCACCCCACCTTGTCATATGCTTTTTCCATATCTAACATTAGGATAATCGTGTTCCTCTTTTCCTGACTAATGATCTCTAATGCTTGTACCGTCGCTAAAATGTTATTAAAGATAGATCGCCCCTTAACGAATGCACCTTGCTCCTCTCCTACCAGTTACGGGAGCACCGGGGCCAGTATTAGGGCAAACACCTTTACTAACAGTTTATAGGAAACATTCAGGACCGAAATCGGTCGCCAATTTCTGATTTCATTCTTGTCTCATTTTTTATACATTAAGGAGATCATTCCGTTTACCAAGCCTGGAGGCAAGGACCCTGAAGTCCGGGCCGTATTAAAAATCTCACAAAAAAATTGACCAAAAACATCCCAGGCTGTGAGGAAAAATTCTATCGGCAACCCATCAGGGCCTGGATATTTTTCCTTGGCCATCTGTTTGGCCGCTGTCGTTACCTCTTCCAGTGAGATAGGGTCTTCCAATCCAACACACAGGCTGGGAGGGATCTGTTTTAAGTTGCAGTCCCAAAAGGAATGAAATTTCGCCAAGTTAGAATGAAAATTATCAAAGGGTCGGCTAGTAGAAACGATATCTTGAAAATAAAGCATTGCATACCTACATAGTGTTTCGGTGTCTGTGGCCACCAAGCCATTGATGGCAAAGGGGTGGGCAAGTTCTCGCATCACGGGTCTGGCGCTTCGTAATATAAGGGAGTGAAAGGTCTCCTTTGTCATCCTATCGTGTCCTAGTATTCCTTTAATGCGGAGCCATTCCTGCCAGTTTGCCTGTTTACTAATTTTTAGTTCTTCCCATTCAGCCAATGCAGCGGACCTTTTGGTTGACCAATGGTATTCGAGGAACGGATCCGATCCATTATACGCATCTGCTTGCTCTATTGTCTGAGACAGTTGTTTTTCCTTCCAGTTCCGCGCAACTGCTTTCATTCTGGAGAACTCAATCATTCCCTCTTGCAGGATATCAATCCCTGCATCTACCCAATCTTCATACTTATCAAACAGATCCCTGGCTAGCGGCCAATCTTTCATTTGAGATTTAACCCATTGTGGAATTCCTGGGTCCTTCAAGACATTAACATTAAGTCTAAAAGGTGGCCTATGCCTCTCCACGGATTCTTGTGAAATAACATCCAAGACCACTGGATAGTGATCTGAAATATAAGAAACTACTAGATATGAGTTCGATATACGATCCCAGGGGGCACCCCTGGCGAGAACATAGTCAAGCCGTCTTTTGGGCTGAGCTATCCTAGAGGACGGTTGAGGGTCTCTCCAAGTGTAACCCGGGGTCTCTGGTTTAAGAGTCTTGTATGCATCCACCAGATTATGTACTTCCATAAAGGTGGAGAGCAGCATCGCATCTCTCTTGATTGGAGCTACGGCTGGAGAATCAAGACCCGGATTAAGAATACAGTTTCAATCGCCCATAAGAATCAGGTTGTCTGTGTCTGGAATAAACTTAGGGAGATCAACAAAGAAGTCGATCCTTGTGTTATAATCCACTGGTGCATAGACCGACATAACAGACCAATCCTCATCTGCCATGGCTAGTTTCACCCAGGCCCAGCGCCCTTCTGGATCTGCGCAGCTGTCTATTATGTCTACTTCCAGTTTTTTATCTAATAGAATTGCCACTCCTCCTCTGGACCCCATCGCTGGAGCCCAGACTTGGGGACCAGGCCATCATCTGTCAATATCCACAAGTTTGTCCGGACCAATTTTGGTCTCCTGAAGACAGACAATATGAGCATGGTGTGAGTGCAGCCAATTTGCCACTCTGGCTCTTTTATGAGTGTCGTTCAGGTCGCATAGACCGCGGACGTTCCAACTGATAAGTCTGACTTTATTGGGAAGAGTCATTATCGGTGGCTCTTCCGCTGGACTGTTGGATGCGGTCCACATTTCCCTCAACTGGCCTTGGTTGCTCAGGCTTTGAGACCATTCGTTCACCAATTTCAAAATTCAGATTTTTCCCCGCCCTCCTCTTCAAGAGGGAGGAGGCAAAGGACTCTGATGAGACCAAGGAGGCGTTATCAGATTGAGCTAACCACTCGGCCACTGCACACGCAGTCAACCCTGACAACAGTCTTATCCCTGCCAAAGTATCTGACTGTACCGCAAGAAGGTGGGCCAGTTCTATCCAATAGATCCTCAGGTCATCCCATTTCGATTTATTGTTTGTCATATGTGCCATATCCATAAATGCAATCAAGAGGCTGACTATACTCCCTTTTGGTAGATTTACCGAGTGACGTGCCATTTTTGGCTCAGGTAGCAAACTTGCTTTCCCCAGATTTTGCAAGGTCTGTATCTTTACCAGATTACAGACCATCACTGGGGAGGGCGTGCTTCGTAATAGGATGGCTGGGAGGGTCAAAGTTCCATCCTTCCCCTTCAATGTGAGGAACCGCAGTGTATGTCCGTCATGCGAACAGATTATAGGGATCAGATAATCCAACGTCTGTCCCATTGTCTTTTCTTTCCTCGTCAGTGTCCTCGTTGGTGCAGCCAGAGACAGTGAGCGTCTAGCGTTTTTGGACATCTCGGCTCTTCCTCTTTTCATAGGAGAGCTCCTGGCCACCTCTTCTGTGCAAGTCCCGCTCTCCTCATCTTCCTGTCTCGCTAAAAATTTCAAACCATCAATACAGGGTCTCTTCACAGAGGACAAGTTCACTGAGATATTCGGATGGTCAGTTTTCGTTCCTTCGGGCAGCGGAGTAGCGGGGGATGGTCAGGCAAAAGGATTAACTGCTCGAGCCATCCCCGTATTCCATTCCTTACCACTCTTCCAGATGTCCTCCGTTGCTTTGTCCGACTGCTAAGAGGCCCCTGTCGGGGAGAAGAAGGCTGGAGAGCCTTTCTTATCCCCTTCTGAATCCTCACCTGAGCTGGAAGAGGGACTATGTGTCTCGGTTGGTATGAAGACTATTTTATTGTTGATAACCAACGGGTTGAATTTAAGCCCTTGGGCTTCTGTCCGTTCCTCCACTGAGGATTCCCTGTTGTACAGTTTATTTTCATAGACCGAACAGTCCTTCGGGATATCCTTAGTTAGAGCGGTGAGAGTCAAAGTTGCCCGTTCAGTCGTATCTGAAACCTGCTGGACCGGGCTCGACAGTAAATCCGCTTGTTTCATGCCACCCGAGCGCTGAGTACTCGCCTCTCTAGGAGGACTCCCCTTTCTTCGCGACTCAGATACTACAACTGTACCCATTTCCTTCGGTTTACCGTTACCAGGGGAGACAGTGGGGGAGGGCGGGGAGGGGGGGGTTCCATCCTTCGGACTTTCGCCAGTCATTACCATGGGTCTCAGGGGCCCATCACTACACCCATTTATCTGCAAGACCCCTTGGTCCCCTTGATCCCCTCGCTCCTTCTGAGTCGGGCTCGTTACCAACACGTGGTCAGGGTTGGCCGAATTACCTGGCGCCGAAGTGGAAGCCTCTGAAGGTTGRTCCTTATTTTCTCCTGTTACCACTTCCTGGTCCTGCCTCCGTGATTTGGAGATTTTCCATTCGGTTTGAGCCTTCTTTTTCTTCCCCTTCTTCCCCACTGGCTTCTTCTTTTTATTCATAGGCTTCTTGTTCTTTCTGGATTCCATGGGCTGGTCCCGAAATTCTTCCTCACTCCCCTCCTTTGCTTTTCCTTCCCGGGACTTAGCTTCGCTATCCTCCATAGTTGTGTTCCTTATCCTTCTCCTTATCTTCACCCTTGTCTTTCTCTTTCTGGTTCCCTGCATCCCCCTTCCCATTAGCCCCAAAGGAGCCTGAGACAGTGGGTTGCCCCTCCCCTTCTCCTTCTCCCCACCCTCCATGTTCTTGTCCCCTTCCGAATGTCCCCCTTTTTTCTTACGGCCCAAATCTAATTTGGCGTTCGGATTGTTTCTGTTCACAACTGCGTCAACACCCTGGTTCTTCTTACCCTGGTCTAGGTCTTTACCCTGGTTCTCTGAAGGAGCCGGAGGTTTCCAGGTTGGACAACACTCGTCCTCCTTCGTGTGAAAATTTTGTCGGCATGCCCGACACCAAGGGGTTCGGGCATGAACGACTTCGATTTCCACATAAGCCCCTTTTTGCATGTCAATACATAGGTAAGGTTTATAACGAAGTCTGGCTTGTGCTTCCAAGTCAAATTTAACGTTAATTAATTCCGAGGCATTTTTGTCCGCATATGTTTCATAGTTCCTTAAGATCGGACCGAAAGCCTTTTTCACAGCAGGTGCCAGGTGTGGCAGGGCCGCAACGGGAACGTACATACACCTAATCCAGAAATACCTGAAACGCATGGCCTCACGCCACTCAACCAACTCGTTTTCTGGCATCCAGGGTTTGAACGATAGGGTGTACCTTTTCCCATCCAAAGTTATTTCGTCCTTTTTTTTCCTAAGTAGCCACGTTGCAATCTCCTTCGCCGACGCTACATAAGTAATCAAATTGTACCCCTCATTATGAAACACTCCTCTCATCGGAGGTGCACTAATTGCTCCACTCCTTGCCCATCCGTTTTCATGCATACGAATCAAGCAAACTTTGACCGAGATTGACAGTGATTTCGAATCTTTCCCAAAAAATACCGAAACAACATTTTCTTTGAGCCACTCCTCCTGAATCGCGTAGACTTCAGGGTTGACTACCACCTTCACGTAGTCATCCCCTATTTCTACGCTTTCAGGATTGAGATGCTCTGGGAGGAGACCCCCTTGGTAACAATTAGTCATCAGTTCCTTGAGTCTACTCTTGTCAGTTCCCCCACTGTTAGGTGGGAGGGGGGCGCCTGCGGGAGGTTCCATTTTTGACGCACAAGAAAGTCAAATAATACCAATCAAAACCACAAACACTTAACAATTCAAACCTACAGACAGACTTATAAACAATACCTATAATAACGAGGCCTCAATTAACGGGATAGGAGTTATCATTCCCAATCCCTTGGGTAGTAAAGCCAAGGCAACCCGACCTACATATCTCGATGTCGCTCGTACCGTGAACTTTTTCTCTACTGCCCGTAATCTGCCGTCTTCTTTCATCCATCCATCACCTTTAAACATTTCGTGCGGGGAGAGGCCCCAGCATGTGCTATACCTGCTACAGCAGGTGGGCAATACTGGCCAGGGGTCGGCCAGTAGCATCAGGACCGAGCTTCTTCGATGGGCCAGTCACTACTGGACCTCCCCTCCGGTCCCCTCCCCTACTCCGGGTAGACTGTGAGGACCCCGACCTCTCATTTTATAAGGGACGTTGGACCCGATTGCCAACACGTGCAGCTCCCCACGTATAAAAAAAAAGAGAAAAGAAAATCAGCAGTCTCTGCTCAATGCCCCTCTGGGGGACAGAGGTGGCAGGCGACAAACTTGCTAGAGAAGGTACATGAGGCCCATGCGGATTGAACGCAAAACCTCATGAATGCCACTTGCATGCCTTACCAACTGAGATAGGCTGCATCACCTGTTTGGGTTGGAGCCGATTCGTTTTTCATTTCTTTTGTTTTGTTTCCTTTTCTTTTGTTTTGTTGTTTCTGACGTGAATCTGCCCGGGCAGGCGCCAATTTCTTTTTCTTTTTCTTTTGTTTTTTTGTCTATGGTGTGAATGGTAGGATCTGAAAGAAACCGTATATTGAACGTGTGTGTCCCGGGGGACGGCTGCCGGAGGCGCTTCGACCGGCGTAGTAGCGCTCGGCCCAAACGCCGTCTGCCGATTCGGCAGGCCTGACCAGCGATGTACGGTCTCGTCGTGGAACCGTCAGCGTAGGTGGTAGCTCATTGCTCTCGTGTTGACGAAGCCCAAGGCAACAACCTGGATGATGCTATCAGCGGTTAGAGTATGCCGCCACCACCCCCGGACAATCGCTATCGAAGTCGTAAAGGTACGCTAGAGAAGTGTTCCCTTCGCAATGGAAGGTGTTGGAAGTCTAGAGCAACGACGTCAAGATGGAGCCGGAGACGGGGGTGCAAGGTGAACAGGATGGAAGAGCTCAAGGTTCCGGAGACTACCGCCTGGAGACAGAAAGAGCAAGAGAGATGATAAGGGCGTGCTATGAGGAAGGTATCCTCCCAACGGACATAGACCGAGGGGAGATGGAAGTGTTGGGGAGGGAAGTTAAGTTTATCTTGAACTTGTCTCTCGATGAAATCAAGATTAAGTGGTTGAAAGAGAGGACGGTTAATGTAATCTTTCGGGATGGAGCTCGATTCCTGCCTAAGACGGTCAAAGAAGATGTGGTTAGAGCTTATGAAGACGTGTGGATAAAGGATGAAACCTTCGGGCATGATTTCAAGCGCGGGAGGACTAAAGTGGAGAGCCCGAATGTGATCTCGTATATTCCAAGGGCGCAAGCCATCTCCGATTCGATGCTTCAGAAGAAAACCGATTTCATCGATCTTGCTGGTACGACATACAGAACGGAGTTTAACCCATGGCTGACACGTGCAAAAATCAGGGATTGGAGGCAATTGATTGACCAGGATACTTTCTGGGTGGTGGCGGTGGGTGTACCTTTGGATGAAATGCCTTTTCTCCACGCCCATGTGGAGAGGGCTATAGGGAAAGTGGTGAAGCAGCACAAACCGGAAGCGGACGAATCAGACCCGAAATTGATGAACTTGCGGTTCGACGTGGATCCAGCATGCAGAGCGAATATGAAGGATAAAATTCTAGTCCAAACTTGCTAAGGTGATGTGCTAAAGGTTAAACTTGCGAATGCTGACTCGGAATGCTGCAAAAGGTGCCGCACCTTCTTTCATACAGAGCTCACCTGCAGAAGATTGGATCGTCGTAATCAAGGGGGTGCGCGATCGAGCCAGCCACAAGTATTGTCATCCTCAAGGACGGTGATATCGAGCGCATCGGCCCCCGCGCGAGCGAGGGCCCTCCCGGCCATGTTACGCATGAGTTTAAACAAAACTTAACATAAGAGACAACTTAGGGACGACGAATAATTAATCCCGCGGACCGTCGAGACGGTCGCGGTCGTGTCATTCCTTCGCCGCTCTAGCCGGGTGCGCCAGTTGTACATCCTGTGGTCCCCTACGACAGGACAGGTTCCCTCGAGGCATAAGCTTGCTTCCCTAAGGGGTTGTCACCACCCTTAGGGGCATATCCCTACCGAGTTACCGACCCAGTGGACCCACGTACGAAAGTTTTAAATGCAATTGCAGAGGTGGGTCGGTCGAGGGTGTTTGCTCACTCGCTGTAGTATAGGTACGCGCGATTAAAACGCCTATTGAACCCGGACGTCGTCCGTTCCTTAGGGCGCTGATCTCCAAAGTACGAAGCATACACCGGTCGACTAGGACGGTCTCAACCTAGTGTGAAACCCCCAATATCCTACTCCCTTTGGTCACCCGGTTAAAAAGAAAAACATAACAACCACTAGTTATAAAAAAGAATCGATCGTAGTCGACATAAACATATATCCAATTTGAAATGATAACCGAACGAATCTAAATCATCATTAGATACATCCAATAACACAACATCAAAATAAAATCCGACCACCCTGGGTCGAATTCCACAAAAATCATACAGCCGCCAACGGGGAGTTGGCTTTCAACAATAACCTCAATGCAAACGACAAGGTAGTCGGGCTTGTCTTGGTTTTGACTTGATGAGATGCGCTGCCAAAGTTATTAATTTCATCCTCCTAAGATTTAACACGCACACACTCGACTCCATAAGTTTCTCAATCTTCTTGGATGACGACTGTTTTGCAGATGATTCTTGATCAGGGGCATTGCTTGAGGTGTTACATGCCTCTCCCTCTAGGAAGTGGTCTGGGGTACTCCTCCTCCTCGCCCGAGGACAAGACTCAGATCTCAAAAGTCGGGCCGTCTCCACCGAATCGGCAAAGTACCCCCCCGTTGAACGGTGCATTCTGGGTCGATAACAGGGCCGAATCCTAAAGCAACGAACCCCCGCCCCAGATGCTTCCTGAAAAAAAGAATGTGTTCACCACAAGTATATTTTCAGTTGTCCATTTTGTCTCTTGCCCAAGGCAACTCAAACGAAAATAGTTAGGAAAGATAGAGAGTGAGAAATATTTAGACAAAAAAAAGTCGTTCAGGAAAGAAATTGTCAATCTTTGGGAAAAAAACTACGTTTGTTTGACCTTATCTGCTTTATTTTATTCGAAACGATGCGCACAAAATTGATATTTTTCAAAACAACCAACCCTTCTTGGCATGCAGGCAGGTGAGTAGTCACAAAAAGACATTTCTTTTCCATTTTTTCAAATAGGCATAATCAATCTCCTTTGCAAGCATCCTTCTACCTACCTGCACAACACGTAAAAAAAACAAGTTCAAGAAAAAAAACAGTACAACCCCATGCCCAAGTCAGACCTTTCCACTCAGATGCACGATACACACAATTTTCCTATACCTTTTCAACGAACATTCAATGAACAGGGTCAAACAAAGTGTGGGTTCACACATGTGTGAAGGAAAATCTGAGTCAATCAACTGACTGACCTTGAGTGACGTGGTGCCAAACGCGTCCTGGCTCACTCAAGAAAGCCAATATATAATATACTTGTTGTCAAAAAAAACGGCAGTCCCAAGGCAAGTCTCAAGCCAACTACTTGTCCCAATCTGTTCCCGACTCACAAGTCGCACATGCGGTAGTCCCAGATTCGATGGCGGCATGTCGCACGAGTCCCAAAAAAAATGTTGGTTTCAAGACAGTCCCAACTGATCCCACGTCTGTCCCAATTGGTCCCAAGTGGTCCTTGATGGTTCTACGCCACCAACATTCGTCCCTCACACAAATTTCATAGTGTCGCGCGTGCCAACTGCCACCACGTCACGTTGCCGCCGCCGCACACCCCAACTCTGGTAGCACAACCTTATCAAACAAAACAGACACCGCGCCGTAAAAAAAAACTCCACCGCTGTTGTGCCGCAAATCCCTATTGTCGTGTCGCTAGTCTAGCAGCATTTCCACACTAAAGAAAAAACAAGTGTTGCCGCGCCACCAATCCGGCGGCATTTCCCCGCCAAAAGGAAATCAAGTGCCGCCGCGCCGCAAATCCGGCAGCACTTCCGCACCACCGTCGTCAAACTTAGTGCCTTCGCCCCAAAAATTCGGCAGCACTTCCGTACCACCGCCGTAAAACTCAGTGCCGCCGTTACAGAAATTCGGCAGCACCTCCGCACCACCGCGGTCAAACTTAGTGCCGACGCCACAGAAAATTCGGCATCGCTTCCGCTCCGCTGCTGTTAAAACCAGAGCCGCCGCCGCAAAATTTCGGCAATGCTTCCGCATGACCGCTGTTAAAACCAGGGCCGCCTCCGCAAAAATTCAGCAGCGTTTCCGCACCACCGCTGTTAAGACCAGAGCCGCCGTCAAAGTCCCGCAGCGTCTTTAGCTCCGTCTCGTTGGACCAGCGCCAACCAAAAGAGAGGGGAGCAGAGTTTTCTCTGCCTTGGCTATGGTTTTCCTCCTCCTTGTCCGGCGCTCTTTTGCTGTCCTCCAACTCCGCCAGCAGCGCTCCTGCCTCCTCTCCAGCACTCCAGCAATGAGGCAAGTGTGTTGTCACACACTGGCAGCTGGAGGCAAGTGTGAGGCAGTTGGGGGACAACTGCCTCTTTTCTAGTGGTTGAGGAGGGCAGTTGCAGCCTCAGCTGCCCCAGGCAAAATTCGTCACTTGGCCGGGGCCGTTGATCTGAGCCAGATCAACGGACTGAGGCTGTCTCACCTCAGCCACACACTTAGGGTGGCAGTTGTACTCAACTGCCCCCCTTCTTTTTCTCCCTTTTCCATGCACTCAGCCCCATACTGAATGCAGGTTCAGTGGGAAAATGGTTGTTTCCAGCCAAGTTCCCCTCATTGCCCCTCCAATTCCCCAGCCTCTGGCCTGAGTTACATTCAGGCCAGATTGATCTGTATCTGATCATAGCCGCGGCCACATTCGTGGCCGTGGCTTTTTTTTTCCCCTTTTTTCTCACTTTTACCGCTGCCCTCCCCTGAAAACAGGGAGGACAGTTGTCAGTGTTGGGAGGAGTAGGCCCTCCTCCTCCCAACTCTCCCGTTTCCCTTTCTCTCCCTCAGCCTTTAAAACCCCCCTCTTCTTGCCTGTGCCTGCATACGGCCCACGACCCCAGCCAAATTCAGACACAGGCTGGGGTGGTTCCCTCAACAGTTGGTGAGGGAACAGTTGCTCGTTTTCCCACGAGCAGTTGCCCCTTTTTACTAAAAAAAAACAAAAAACAAAAAACAACAACAACTTACCTTTCCTTTGCCTGTAGCGTGAATCTCCCCTTGTTCCTGGGGTAGATTCATTCGATTTTGTTCACCCTTAGGCAGTTTCCACGATGAGGGGCCAACCTCAGGTAGGTAGGTAGGTGGCTGCCCCTCTTCTCTCTCTCTCTCTCTCTCTCTCTCTCTTTCTCTCTCTCTCTCTCTCTCTCTCTCTCTCTCTCTCTCTCTCTCTCTCTCTCTCTCTCTCTCTCTCTCTCTCTCTCTCTCTCTCTCTCTTTCTTCTAGCGGAAGATGCACCCGATTTTGCTCATTATTTTGATGGAAGTAGCATGGCGATACGCACACACACATACACAGACAAATGTGGTAGTGTATATTTCCATGTTCTTAGCGATAGATTCATTCGATTTGCTCATCCTATCGCCGGAAGTTGCGTGAAGTCCGCCTTGCGATCGGGGTACATGCACACACACAAATAGAAGTAGCGGTGTATATTACCTATTTTAGCAGTAGATTTCTCTCGATTTTTCTTATCCTATGGGCGAAAGTAGCATGAGATCTTGTTGTGTGTTTGGCACTCACACACACAAACACACACACACACACACACATACACACATAAAAGAGAGTGTCGATGTATACTTCCTTGTTCAAACGGTGGATTCATTCGAGTTGCTTATCCTATCGATGATTCTATCGTTGGACATCTCGTGAAGCCGGCGGCGAGATTGTAGCACACCCACACACACAGTCAAGCAAACAAGTGCGGCAGCGTACATTTTCATATTCTAGCGGTAGACACATTCGATTTTGCCCATCCTATCGATGGAAGTACCATGAGGCCAGACGTGGGGTTGGAGACTTACCTGTTGGCCCGTACGTCCCTCATCCTACTGATCGAAAACTCTCCTTCATATGGTAAGTCGCGATGCGGGGTCGTGGCAACCTGCGTCGTTGCTGCATGGTGCCACTCGGATTGCGCGGAGTGCAGACCCTCCTCACTCAATCACAACACCTCCCAACGGAACGCATCGTCGTAACTGTGAATACGAAAACAACACCTCTACAAGCCGCAATCGCTCTCTTTGAAACCCACGAGATAACAGGTATGTCGCCTTCTGACCTTCTCCCTTCCTTCTCCTCTCTTCCTTCGTTCTCCTAGCGAGGTCTCCTTCTCCATCCCCCTCGCTTTGTGCACCGTGCTGCCACTCTATCCCCCATATTTGCGTTCTCCTTGCTACTTGCGCCCTCGCTTCTTCTCTCCTTGCTTCGCGCTAGTCATGCCGCCGCTTTCACCCGCTCTCTTTTCCCTACCCCTTCCTCTCTCTCCCTCATACACACACACACACACACACATATACGCATGCGCACTCGCACACACACACACCAGTAGTGTATATTCTCGTATTCTTGCGGTAGATCCATTCGATTTTGTTCATCCTATTGAAGAGGGGGGGGGGGGGGGGGGGTTTTTTGGAGACCAGTTTTAAGATAGGGGGCTTATTTTTTCATTCTCTCTCCCCCCCCCCCCTCATCGTCGTCATCGTCGTCGTCGGCGTTGTCGTCATCGTCAACACTATACCCCCTCAACCTGGGGAACCCCCCAAAGCACATTGCAGAGGGGCTCTCTCGTAACCCAGATACAAAATCCCAAAATCCACGCTTGGATCGTCGCCATCATCGACTGCAAAGGAGAAGGTAGGTCGCCTCTATCCTCCC